GGTGGATGATAAGTAATTTTTCTTTGAGGCAGAGGTTGCATCTTTTGCTTGCATTGTTGTAGGGTGATCTTGATGAAAGGATGTGCAATAAAATAAAGTGCTCAATGTTATTTTCTTTAAGGGTCCAGATATGTTTGCTGAGTTTGGTAGAGTTTCTGTGTTTTGTGTGTTGGAATGATGCGGTGTGGTTTCTGTACCTAGTCTTGAAGTCGTTTTCTGTAAGTCTGATGTACATTTCAGTGGTGCTGTTGTCCTTACGTGTGATGGTGGCTTGGTAGATTAGTGGTGACTGGTGGCAGTTTCCGTTAATTGGGCATGTGTTCTTCTGTTGACAGCTGCAATTTTTGGTGTCTTTTGTGTTGGTATTATCTGTGGTGTCATTGTTGTGTTTGGATGAATTTAAAATGTGTTTGTTGTGGTTGTCGATGATTTGTTTAGTGTTATTCATGCAGCTGTAGCAGATTTTGATTGTGTTACGATTAAAGGTTTTTCTAATTTTGCGGTCTTTTGGGAAGTGCTCGTCTACTATGGCAAGGAATCTGTGTCTGATAGCGGTGCTTACATTTTTGCTGAATGGGGGGTTTTATCAGCATATGTTGTTCTGTTGACTGTCTTTTCGTTTGTTAGCTGTGGGTGTTTCATCATGTAGAGTGGACTGGTATCCGCATTTGTCGAGTGCTTTCTGATATGGAGCCGCCCCTCCATATCAGGAAGCACTTGAGGAATGCTTTTTGATATGGAGGGGCGGCTCCATATCAATAAGCACTCAAAGAATGCAGATACCAGTGCACTCTACACTATGAACCACCCTCAACTAACAAACAAAAAAGCCAACAACGGAACAACATACTCTGGTTCAACCCCCCAGTCAGCAAAAATGGCAGCACCAATATCGGACACCGATTCTTTGCCCTAGTAGACAAGCATTTCCCGAAGGACAACAAACTTAGAGGAATCTTTAATTGCAACACAATTAAAATCAGTTACAGCTGCATGAATAACACTAAACAGATCATCAACAACCACAAAAAACGCATTTTAAATTCATCCAAACACATCAATGACACCACAGATAACACCAACACAAAAGACACCAAAAATTGTAGCTGCCGACAGAAGTTCACATGTCCACTTAACGGAAACTGCCTCCAGTCATCACTAATCTACCAAGCCACCATCACATGTAAGGACAACAGCACCACTGGGACATACATCAGACTTGCAGAAAACAACTTCAAGACTAGATACAGAAACCACACCGCATCATTCCAACACACAAAACACAGAAACTCTACCGAACTCAGCAAACATATCTGAACCCTTAAAGAAAAGAACATTGACCACTTTATTTCATGGTGCATAATTTCATCAAGATCACCCTACAACAGTGCAAGCAAAAGATGCAACCTCTGCTTCAAAGGAAAATTACTTATCATCTGCAAACCTGAATTATCATCATTCAATTAAAGTAATGAACTTGTCTACTGTGTAACAATTGAACAGAGCATCGAAATTTACCACAAAGCCTATTTTGAAGATTTCAATAATAGATGTGGATATGTCTATTATATTATACATATATATAAATATTCCTTGTAGTATGTGTACTTTGGAATTTGTGGGAATAACAGGGATGAAAAGATGGCAAAAAAAAGAAAAAATGATCTTTGCATTTAAACAAAGTTGTTTATTTTACTGTGGTTAAAAAAAGAGAGAGATTATACACTAACAACTGGGCTTTATAACCCATTTGAGGGGTAACCTAAAAAGTTAAGGCAAAGTATGCCTCCTTAAAGAAAATGTTTGAATTTGGAAGCAAAATGTTTGTAATATGAGGGCTCAAGGCTGTTCATAGCATTGTGCAACTGTATGGCATTGCATACCAGCAGCTGTTTCTTAAAATAGGACAAACCTAGTCCCTGCAGGGTTGGGGAGATGTGTTGAACTTCTTAGTATTTGTCAGCATGGGAGTAGCAAATTTTTGCACAAAGTGCTACTTATGTATGTCATCCATGTTTGATTATATCATTACCCATTACAAATAAGAAAGTAAGAAATTGATAAAAGCTAAAATTATGGTAGAAAAAAATCAAAATACAGTCTGGAATATCTATACAAAGGCAAGTCTAACCCCTTGGTATGACTTTATCTTCATTGCAGACATGTAAATATCAAGATATCAAGACCAATAAAAAGAATTCTTTGGTAGAATAAAAAATAGTTCGAAGTATTAATTTAAAATCTATTTACATAGCCCTGATAGTGTTTTCTCTAGGCATTGGTGTCTAATTTTCATTAAATTTGTTTATCATTGCTACAACCGTATCCTTCTATTAAATCTCCAAGGGGCATTATGTTTGACTGACAATGTATGACACACAGCATCTAGTTCTGTTTGTTCACTCTTACAAAGTTTTTTCTACTTAGTTATTTTAATATACTAACTTTCATAGATAGCTTCCTAAATTGCATATCAAGCAAATTTATGCTTCCTTTTTCTAGCTGGTAGTTGTATTTAAGGTCTAAAATTATTGGTCTCAGTTCCTGGTGACTAAAAGACCATTTTTACGCATAATGTGTAATACTTTATAAACTGATGTACATTACAAATTTAAAATACGAAATACTTAGAACACTGAGAAATAGTTTAAATGAAGAGCCAGAGGGCTAAATAACTGCCAAGTTTGGATTGGGATTTTGCGACTGGGCAACAGTATTTGTCAGCATATGGGGTGCCATGCTCAGAAAAACAGGCTTTGTTTTCATTAAAACTTTTCCATTTCTGCTTGTGTGGGTGCTGGCACTTCTGGTTTCAGAGTTAGACTTTTGGTGATGACCTCCAAGTTCCTTATCGCGATTCTCTATTCTTTCGTCAAGGTCAGCTTTCATTTTCTTAGCAATTGTTTGTTTTCCAGAGTTATTGCACACTCTAGGTTTACATAAATTTGTTGGGAGTATATTTGGTGTTGTATCCATGAATACTGCTTGCATATTGAAAATGATTTTGGAATGGATACACTTAGGCAGGCCTTTGTGCCATAGATGCAAAAACTTTAAAGCATTGTGTCAATATACATTACTTACTGTTGGAATGTCTAGAATGTTGAGCAGATGGAGGGTGCTATCTGTTTGTTTATGCAATGTACCAATCTCAGTGGGGCAAAACATCCTCATGTTTGTTCTCAAGTGATTGATCAATAATTGCTGAAGAAGTGCACAGGTGAAATGCATCTTCTCCTCTTCTTTGTTAACCAGTATTTAGTTGGCAGTGTGGTTGTTACTTGGGATTGAGATTGACAGAGTATATTTCATAGTTAATCACAATTCTCTTGAGGGAAATGGTAAGTGAGTTGACACAACTCTTGTATCTCCAGCGTCTGAACAAGTCATGTAAAATACCATCTTTCTTTTGTTGTATTGTGAACCTCTAGATACCTGGGGAGTAACTGAATTGATAAAGGATTAAGTGGGAAGACAGTATTGAAATGAAAAATTGCAATTTGCAAATCCTGAAAGGTTTCCCTCAGAAACTAACAGAACTCCCTGTAAAGGTCTTTTATAAGTAAATAGTAAGTAAAATAAAATACTCTGATGGATGTGGTCTTTTGGCTGGTTTTACTGAATTTGTTAGGAAACTGAATCCTTGAATTGCCTCATTGGTTTACATCCGTAGCATTCTTATCAACCTTAAGTAAAATTTCCCCTGAAAGAAGCTTGGAAAATTTGACTTCAGGTGATTTGAGGTCATTTAAGCTATGTTTCTATGTGTCATGACTGCCTAACTGCTGGAAAAATTGCCACCTCCCATGAGTGGTATATTCAGTGCCTCAGAAGCATCCTTTGGCACGTGTAAATTTATTGAATTTTGGATTTAGAACTGTAATTGAAATTTGAAGTCTTGCATACACATTGTTCGCACAAAATGCTTTCAAGTTGGAATCCGTTGTTTTGTAAACAGTTACAAATGTAAACACGATGGTAAGAATGCCTTTGTTCATTCAGTAATCTTCTCTAAGTCTGGACCATAACACTTGATGACAATTCTTTTGATAGTAATGCTTGCCAATCAAGCAAAGTATTTTCAACGTTAAGGGATTATTTGAAATGCGCTGTAGTACATCATCATAGAACAATGTGTTTTTTGTTCTATGCTGCTGTCCAGTTTTTGTTGGACTGTGGAAAGTTTGTTCTGACTGGTTTCCAAAATTGGACTTTACTTAAGTTTGCTCTTGGCTTTGTAATCGACATGAGAATCTTGATTGAAGTACGATCAGACTGTTGTTAGGATACTATGAAATTTGCACAATAACCAACAACCAATTTCTTAAGTGTCTGTGAGTGCATGGAAAAACATTTTCTGCTCTCCCCAAAGGTTATTAACATAGGGAGGAACTTAAAAGTTTTACGTTTGCTTTTGCTTATTCACTTTGCACAAGTGTTTCACCTGAGGAGATCACAAAAGTAAACATTTCTTGCTTTTGCTTCAGGGTATAACTAAGTTAATGAAAATCTGTTGACTCAATACTTTTTGTGTGGCACTGACAAAACAAAGGTTTATTATAAAAGTAAAATGACGTTGCTTTTGATCAAAAGGATATTCTCTATCGATCATGAAATCATTTTAGACTGTTAAAAAATAAACCAGTAAGGAAAAAGTTGTTCAAAGGATATAATAAAATAAGAATAAGAATTAAAGAAAAATAATTAGTAACTACTACGTCACATGAGTATTAGAAATTTTAAAAAAATGGCTTGAGATTGAGGTTACCAATTTCTTGCGGTTTGAGCTTTTTAAAGTAGGAAACACTTAAGTTAACCTCTGATTCAGTGTTCTCATCAGTGTGTATGTATCGGAAGGCAAACAGTTTCATTTCATCTCTTATGATGATTTGATTGTATGCAGAGCATGTCAAGTTGTAGGAATTAGCCATCACAAGGATGAAAATTCATCTGAAAACCAAAAATGCTTCAACAGACTATAGTTCATTATCATATATTTCAAGCACCTGTCAATAATTTGAAGGTCTTTCATAACACACTCACAAATTTCAAGTCTGGCAACAACCCAAATATTTTATTCACATTATAACCTTGCCTATTTGACAGTAGAAAATCAAAGTCAATAGAAAGTCAACAATAAAAGTTTCGAAACAAAACAAACAGCAGTTTTATTATATACCAATTAGCGCATGCTTGTTCAGCCATCTTTCTGTTACAGAGATAACTGTCAATGACTTTCCAGCAATCCACAGCAGTTCCCGTTGTGTCAACATCAAAGAAAGAAATTGAATATAATTGGTTTAATCTTTTCCATTCAACTGGATCTAGGGTAAGCTTCTTCCCTGCCCTACTTACATTTGGTCCATCTAATTCCTGCAGTAAAAAGAAAAGCCACACAATATGTATGGAAAAATTTTTATTGAAGGTCGACCAGTGAAGGAGGGTATCCTCTGAAGTTTCCTCCTCTGATGGCGTACAGTTAGGTGGTGAAGTTCTCATCATTAAATATCATTAAGGATACTGGAATGTGAACGGCATCCCGCAGCACTGACCAAACAGATGCAAAGGTGTATGTTTAATTAGTTCCATTGGTTTTAATCATATGTGGACAAACTTGGCTTGACGTATAAATTTTTCAAGATGTTTTTTTTGTATATAAACTTGGGCGGTGTTGAATATTTAAATAAACTACCAAGTCTCTTTATGGATCATTCGTGTATGTATAGAAATAATTTTTTCATCAAGTTTAATGTTATGTTGGTGGAAATTGAGTGACACTTTGCTTATATACTGCACCATAATGGAATAAATAACCATACATGAAAGTCCACAATAGCAAAACCTGTGGTCACAATCTCAACTCTCCTTGGAATGTAAGAATCGCTGATATTCTTCTTCTCGATGCAATAAGCAATGCTGTTGGGGTTCCTTTCTCTCAGGCACACCATGTGGACAAATTTGTGTCTGAACACTTTCCACCACCTGAAGGTCTTTTTGGCATTGCATTTGTTTTCCACATACTAAGCTAGCTTAACATGCTTTGCCTCTCCACCTTGCATTTAATTGAGGCCCAAGCCTCAGATGTTAAACTTCCTGGTGTGTGTTGACATGAGGTCTTTAGCTTTCCCACTTGTTCAATGCGCACCTCAACTCTTGAGTAAATAGAAACTGCATCTCTGAATTTGACTACAACAAATGCCAAAGTGTGAAGTTTCACAACTGATCCTTTTGAAAGAGAGTTGATCTTCAGAAGTTCCTTTATCAAAGTGGCAAAATGCCAACAAAAGTACTTTGATTCAAGCCACTTGAATCCATATGAGAATGTAATGCACATCAATGCTTGGCAGAACTGGTTTTCAGCTGCACTCTCTGTTGTAATACAGGACACAAACCAGACTCACCTCAATGAAGCAACAACAGTCTCTGATCTCCCAGAAAGTTCCCTTCTGCTTGCAGTTTTGAAATGCCTGAAACGTCAAGTCTGGGAGACTACACAAGGTCTTTCTTTTGTGGTTCAGCGAGAAGGGAAAGAAGTGTTATGTAGAGGCTCCGCCTTGAGTAAATCAACATACTTCCCCAACAGAGGAACAAATTCTTGTCTCAACTTGTTTTGAGCAATAAATTTGGTAATATGACTTCTTTGTTTGCCCATGGGATCTTTAAGTCTTTTCTTCGACTTTTCCACCATGCTTGTGGATTTCTATTCAATTTCTCTAAAGTGACGGAGAATGTGAATAACGATAAAACTATTGATTTTTTCCACATCTTCAGTGATATTGCTATCGGGTCTGAAAATTCACCATCACTGAATTGAAATATCATAGATTGTTATGTTATACTACTGACATCAACCTTTAATTACTATAAATAAGCCAAAAAATCCAACGATTTTGCTTAAGCTGCCTTGAACTCAGGGCTGTATAATGACTGAGCAATTATTGCACGAGACTGAGTATGATATGAAGAGTTATGCAGGGGGTTATCCGCCAAAGCCGAAGGCTTGAGCCCCGTGGATAACACCCTCCGAGATCTGTAAATCTTCATATCATACGAAAGCCGAGTTCAATAATTGTTTAATTATTCATTCAAAATATTTACACGGCAAAACAAAACGGTAACTGAAAATAATTTAGTGAATGTGACGCTTGCGACGAAAGAGGAAACTTCGAGGGGTGTCGCTAGGCGTGTTTTCTAAGTGTCGCTGATGTGGGGACTATTTTACCGGTCGTAGTGAAACCACGAAAACCAAGATGACGATTAACGGTGTTTATTTAGATCACGATCACGATCGTAAACTGAAATTACAATAATATAACGAATGCATGAATCTACTTGAATTGGTGCGAAAGGCATGAAAGAAACGCTTTACGTGCCTATGTCGATAACGCGATTAAAATAACAACAATTAACGTGAATTAACATAAACAAATCATAAAAGGCTAAATTAAAACTACTCGAGATTCAAAGATCGGCTACACGATGACCATTTGCGGCTGATTAACAGCCCAAAGACTGAAATGTGGGCGTTGCTGTGTGAGCATCTAGTTCTTTCAAAATACTCCTTTGATTTCAAGATAATTAGTTGTACTGTTGTACAACACAGTACATATGTGCGCTATCGCCCAAGGTGAAAAACTAAACTTAAATATATTGAAATAAAACTAACAAATCACTTACATATCGGTCCCGCTTGTGCCAAAGGTTTGGAACGAAAGAACGAAGGTACTGCTGTTCAAGGCGAAATCTTGCGAAACTCTGGCTTAAAGGGACGCTAACTTAGCTTTTATATGCGCGTGGTGACGCTAAAAGATCCGATTACAAACCAATAAGGAAAAGATAAACATTGTAACTACGATCGTAACTAGGCACACAAAGTAATTGATAATTGATCAAATAAAAAAAAAGGCTGTTCTTTTGTTCGATATCCTTAACAGTGAATGATATTAAAGTTACTGTACATCATTTACTCGAAAAGTGCCAAAATTACGCTTTCTGTTTGTGTTGCGGTCGGTAAATTCGTTTGCTATGTCAATGGTGGAAAGCCTGTCCGTTCTTTCTTTGTGTATGTTTAAAACTGTCTTATGATGTCGTCAAAACAAAAATAATCACCATCCTTCAGCAGCACTTGTAAGATTTCCATCTGGACGGTTAACACTGAAATATTAACATCATCGTTGTACAGTTTTTCCATAAACTTTAGCTATTCGGATTTGTCCTGCGAATTGAGGGTGTTAATGAAGAGAGACTCCATCTTTGCATACGTATCAAAGCTTGGCTGGTCAAACCGCTGGTCAATAGCGTTCATCATCAAGTCAATAGCTTCAAAGTATATTCGCCTGTAATAGTCTTGTGCGGTCACAGAATATGTTGGCTCTCCAGTGCTAATTTCAATTCTTCTTGGCGCGCGAGTTCTCCTTGGTAACATCGGTCCACTCATGGAGGGATAGCTTTTACTTTTCAGTAAAACTACATCATAAAATGATCTGAAGCTCGTATCGTTTCGCATCTTCTGCAGAACGTCTTTTGTAAGACAAGCTACAATAAATTGGCTGTTCTGAAACGCATTAAATTCCTACCTCAGTCCATTTTGGAATCTATTTGAACTCAACTATTCCTAGTGTTGTGTATAATATTGTTTGGGGCTCTGTTTCTTCGGAACTTAGGGAGGATATTGAACGTATTCATATGAGGGCATTAAAGATTGTCTACAAGCTACCCATGACCACTCCAACTGATGAGATCAAGAAGTTGAGGCAATGGAATCCTACCTCGTCGTATTATGTAAAGATGCCGGTGGTTGTGACCTACCGATCTTATCATGGTTCAAATACAGAGGAACTGAATATTCTAATTTCTAAGGCAAAACCCAATTACAGTTTTTTCTTTAAATATAGAAGTGCCAAGACCAAGATCTAAAATTGACAAGTCCTCTTTTAAACACTGGGAAACTTCTTCCGAATCATGTCAAGGACTGTGCAAATTTAAGATCATTTAGGATTAGGCTTAATGCGAGTAGGTAAAAGTAAAGTAAGCTTTTATATGGGCCTTAGTGGCCCATGGTGCCGGTGCTTAACTCCGGTTTTCTTAGCATGAAGCAGCTAGGAGTATTGCTATCCCCACATCGCAGGGTTACCCCCAGCACATTCGCTGGTACCCATTTGTACACCTGGGTGAAGAGAAGCAATGTGGGGGTAAAGTGTCTTGCCTAAGAACACAACACAATGACCCCGGCCAGGGCTTGAACCCAGACCACCCGATCCGGAGTCAAGCACACTAGCCATGAGGCCACCACACCTCCACAAAACAGGAACTAAATAGCATAAATTTATATCTTGCTTACCTAAATTTTTATCCTTACTTAATGTGACAATATTTAATTAACTGTAATTAGCCAGGTCCATATCAGGATTTTGGTCTTGCCAATTTTCATAACCTGCATTGTTAAATAAAGATGTATGTATGTATGCACGCATGTATGTATAAACATGCCTTTGACAAAAAAGTGGGGAAAAAGGAAATGGAAACATAACCCTTGACAAGAGTTCTCCCCACAGCCTCCCACTCTTCCACAAAATGATCATGTCACATAAGGGGAACTCTCCCCCTTTCCCCTTTAGTCATGACAATTGAAAATTCTTTCCAGAATAATGAATAAATTTCACAAATGACTCCAACCCCAGTCCCTAGTTCTAATTGGCCTACTTTACTAACAATTAACAAAGCCTGTTCTCCCGACCCTGGGACAGGAGGAGAAACCTGTTCCCTAAAGATTAGGACAGAAGGAGATACCTGGTAAGCAGGGTCTTGAGCATGGTGCATTGCTCCTCCAGCCATGTTGCCTTCATTCCCAGCTGCTCTTCCCACTGAGTCACAATTTGAGAGCAATGCTACTCGTGTACTTCTTAACTCATCTAAAGTAAGACCAACTGGATTATCAGTAGTACTTCCTCCATCAGCAATTAGAGAACACTCGTATTCTCTGTCCTGCTCACAGTGCAGGCATCCATCATATTCCACATTTGTGCAGCTACATACTGGACATACCATGCAATTTTCAGTACTTGAGGCTGTGGAGTTTCAATGACGATAAAAATCACAGAGCTACAGGTTAAAACTAGAACAAAACTTTTCAATGTCCAGTTCAGGTTTCTGTTTGTGACGACTAAGGTGCCATGAAGCACGACGGTTCGTGTGACGTCTTGATCACATGACTATATTCACACGTGTCACGCCACATTCCTTTCCCTTGCAACATTGACAACAACAACAACCACAAATAATAGAATAGGATAGAGGCATGCTCAAATCAATGTTTAAGTGTTCAACACCAGTCATAATCCTTGAGCCAGGTGGGGGTATATCTAGTTCGCCCAGCGCGCCTAGGTAGCAAAACTGAGACTAGTTCTGTGCTATATGGGACAGAGTGTGCTGAGAACAATGTGTCATTCTCCTAAATCCTAGGAGCCGGTGGGGTTTGGCACTGGTCTAGTACAGGCTCTGGCAAAAAGGTGATCTGCTTTCATTCTCAGTCTGATGTGGTGATCTGCTTTCATTCTCAGTCTGGTGCGGCTCTTCATTGTTGCTACTTGGCACTGGTGAGGGCTTCAGGGTGGAGGACAGCTGAGGGTGGTTCCTGCGGAAGCACCGTCCATCTACCTGAACTTCATATGAACGTCAGTCAAGAAGACATGAGCAGCAACCTAAGCTCCATTTCTGTTCCCCAGGTAGCTTCATTCGGATTGCCTCTCCAACCTTCAAGGGAATGAAGTACTGTAGTACTGCTTGCACTGTAATATTTTTTCTAGCGGCTAGGCTTCTTGCTGTGGTCTTCAGGTTACTGTTTAGCTGGAGTAACTTTTCAGCAGTTGGTAGCAAGGTGTGCATGCGCCGACCCATCAGCCTTTGTACTGGTGAGGTGCTGAATCCCTCACTTGGGGTGTTGGGCCAAGAGAGGATTGCCAATAATGGGTCTCGTTTGTCTTCCTTTGCCTTCAAGAGCAGTCCCTTGCAGGTCTTCACAGCATTTTCTACCTTTGCATTCGCTTGTGGATATCTTGGACCTGAAATTCGGTGCTCGAACTGCCAATCTGTGGAGAAATTCTTGAATTCCTGGTTGCCAAATTCAGGATCGTTATTGCTGATCAGCACTTCAGGAATGCCATGTCGGGCAAACTGCACCTTAAACTGGGTAATTACAGCTTGTGCTGTCCTCCTGTGAATCTCAACTACTTCAAAGAAATTGGACCAGTAGTCTACATTATCAGGAATGTCTGCTGCCCAATGACCAAAAGGTCTGCATCAATTTTCTGCCAAAAGCGCAAAGGAAGTTCATTTGGTTGAAGCTCCTTGCAAGCCTGTGCTAGACGGTATGTTTGACAGATTGGAAAACGAGAAACAAAGTCTCTTATTTCAGCACTCATTCTTGGCCAGTGCAAAATTTCACGAGCACAGCGAACACATCCTCCAATGCCAAAGTAACTACTGTGGAGCTGAGTTGGCATGTCCTTTCGAAGTGGAAGGGGTAGTACAAGCTGTTTTCCACGAAAAACTAGACTTTGCAACTTTATCAACTTGTTCCGCTTATCATAACACGGTTGGACAGCAGGGGGGCATTTTTTCTTGTCTGGCCACCCTAGCTAGATAACACGGATAAGTTCCTGAATATTACCATCTGCAGCAATTCGTTCGTGGAAAACATCTCGTTTCGGCGGTTCAATTTGAATATACTCTTCATGATCAACTGTCTCAAGTACATGAATCTCACAGAACTTCGTCTGCACTCCATCAGTGGTCTTCAGATATACCCGACTCAATGCATGTGCAATATGTATGAGTGTACCTTTCTTGCACTGCACTTCAAGGTTGTACTTTTGTAGGACCACCCGCATTGGGTGACTTGTGAATTTCATTTTTGAATATGGACTTCAGCCCCTAAGCCAGACTGGCTTGCATCACATTGGACAGTGATTGGCTTGTTTACATCATACTAGCGAAGAACTGGTCTCCGTCAGGGACTTCTTGATTGTGTTCATTGCGAGGGAGTGTTGTGGCAACCACTGGAACTCCACATTCTTGTCTTCTAGGCGTGTGAGTGGCTCTGTCATGTCTGATAGGTGAGGCATAAACTTTGCAAGATACCTTATTACATGAAATTTTCGCGACATGTTAATTTCGCGATTTGGAGAGTCGCATATTTCGCGACACCTTATTTTCGCGATTTTGCGAAAATTTTGCATTTTGACTCACTTTAATTTCGCGTTTTTGAGTAAGACACAATTTATTTCTTTGTCAATGTTATTTTACATGTCCTTGAAAACTTGATCAAACAACTTAATCAACAATGTCCAAATAAACAGAAACGCAGCTGATTATGTAAACAGTAACAAGAAAGATGTTCTCACAGCGTCTAGAAGGCACGGTATGTACCTACCCATGCTTGAATGCAAGTCACGTTATTACTGATCAATTGACCTTAATATCCATTACATTAAATATTCCTTTCTGCTAACTCCGAGGAAAAAAATGTTGCCGTTTAGTTGCACGACTGGTGCCGTTTGATCGTTTGCGTAAATGTCTTGATACGGATCAACAGGGGGTAGCACTTCTTTTCCATTTAAAACATCCTTTATTCCGGCTTTTTCCCATCCTTTCAAAATATAAACCTTTCCTTCAGTGCTGGTGAAAAAGTTATACAACTTTACCAACCAAGTGGCATGGATTGGTTTAAGGACCGATAGTTTGAGATCAACATCGACATCTTCAAAATTGATTCCACTATCCACTTGTTTCTGGACTTCTGCGGAATACCACGTTCTTGCAAAAGTTATTGGCCTGTCCATTGACCGTTAGATCCAAGGGTTGAAAAAAATGTGTCATGTTAGCTGGGACAGAAATGACTTCTATATTCAGCGAGGAGAGCTTCGAGCAAACCTTCTGCGTTTTCTGACCTCTGAAGACATCCCAGATAAGAAGCGCTTTTTGAGATCGTGGAAGGCCAAGTTCCTTGCGTTTCTTTACCACGCAGGGATTTATTACAGAATCAATAAGGCCTATTGTTTCTGCCTTGTTTGAATAGTGCTTTGGGTTTTGGCTGACACAAAAGCTCTTGGGAAAACTAAAGTTCCGAGGAAGGCTAGCCCTAGTTTTACCCTGGTATATAATTTGCAACGGGAGAAATTCGCCAGACAAAGAAATCACAAATGTTAGAGTGATGTTACGCTTATCTGTCAAACCCTTGATTGGTACAGACTGAGAGT